TACTTTGTGCCTCGCTGGGGGCAGTCATGACACAATGTGCTGTCATTGATAGGGGTTATCAGGGTCAGTCCTTGCTGCTTGGTATAGATAGGGACAGACTCTGTTTTCTAGGGACAGACTCTGCTTTCTATGGGCAGCCTCTGTTTTCTAGGGACAGACCCTTACTTCTATGCGTAGCCTCTGTTTTCTAGGGACAGACCCTTCTATTGTCAGACTTTAATTTTTTGTGACAGCCTCTGATTTATGGGAATGGCCTCTAAATTCTAGGGACAGCCTCCAATTTCTAATGACAGCTTCTGATTTCCAAAGACTTCCTCTGTTTTCTAGGGACAAACTCTAATTTCTAGGGGCAGCCTCTGATTTCTAGGTACAGCCTCTGATTTCAAATGACAGCCTCTGATTTTTAGGCACAGCCTCTGATTTCCAGGTACAGCCCCTGGCTGTCACCTCTGCACCTATACAACCTCCTGCCTGCCCTCATCCTGGTCTTGTAGTCATTGATATCAGGTGATCCTATACATGGTGCAGTTACTGACTCCAGCCAGCAGTGTCCCTGGAAGTGGTCAGTGCTGTGTGTGTATTATGTCCATGGACTGACATGTCATATCACGTGTGTGCTGCATTGTTTTGGTCTCTCACATGCACAGACAGTCCTCATTGCAGGAAGGAAATGATTGCGCTCCCTGTGCACCGGGTCACATTATTCTGCACAGGTCCATGTACATGTATCCGCACGGCAGGAGGCTGGCAGAGACACATTGGCTCCGATGACGTCACTACCTCTATGGCTGGCACACATTTCCAGGAGTGTGCCAATCATGTGCGAGGATGCGAATGGGCGTGGCTACAGTTACCTGGGTGTGTCGCTGTCAAGCAGCAGTCCAATCTCCGCCGGTCCTCGTTGACAGCTGTTCTTGCCCCCCTGCGCGACGCTCTTGTTAGTCCGCCCCATCTGTAGCCTTCACCAATGACACTCCGCGGGCGGGTTTTGTGCCGTAGCGTTGCCGCCAATGAGCTTTCGCCACTGTGCCAGTGGGCAAGTCGGTGCGGGCGAGAAAGGGGCGTAGCTTGTTGGAGCCGATAAACAACAATCCCAGCGCTTCCCCCCACCACGGTAGAGTCGGTCAGTCAGACAGCGGGACGCGGTGAAGACACGAAGTACCGAGCTCGCACCGCACACGCACACCTACGTCTCCCCGCCCGCCCGTCCCTCAGTATTCTGCCTCATCACCCCCGCCGGTACACCGTGCCCTGCCACCACCACTTCTCTCTCCTCCTCCCTGGTGCTGGAAAATGGCGGACTCGGTCTGTGTCAACATCCAGATGCTGCTGGAGGCGGCGGAGTATCTGGAGCGGAGGGAGAGAGGTGAGAGGGGGGATCTGTGGATGTCATGTGTCTTTGTCACT